AGTCGCCTATACGAGGCAGATATGATTTGATCGTATTGTTGCAAAGCTTGTTATGGACTAGAAAAGTTGCACAGATATTCATTCCTACACTTCATCGTGTACACCAGTCATTGCACGAGAGGGGTCACTAGTGGGGAGGAACCTAGGCAAGGGTCAGCCTCCTCTTGTTATCCACTGCATCCTTCCCCATTATATAGGTGGTTTACAAGTAGAGTAGACTCCTGGTCGTGAATGCCGATAAATGACCTTCGACGTGTTCGGTCCGATAAGTATCTGATCGCGTGTGCTAGGTGAACGTCCAGCAGCTCTTCTCCGAGAAGTTCTGCAGTCCGTTGGGTCGTCCCGTCGGGTAAGATATCCTACGTGTGAATGCAGATTGATAGGCACTGTAATCGGCCTCTCAGCTGACTACATCATCCACCGAATACCAGAACTCAAAAAATCGGTGAGTTCCTATCTGTAAAGGCTCCGAGCTCGATAAACTTCACGACATGGTTCGGCATTGACCAGCAATGTCTCTTCCCATGTGTGACTATGGCAGAAAGGCCTTGTTTTTGCATACCAAGTTTGGAGTGTAGCATGTTGCGTTAGTTGTTACCACCGATCTAAACCGCTCGAGATCCGGTCTGTAGAGCTCCGAGTGATGAAAAGGTGTGTTTCTGCCGATGGCAAGGAGGCCGGTGCCAACATAGCTGTACGACCATGACAGAAAGTGTTGTGTTTTCCTCCGTGAGATGCTATATCCATTTGTTCTTTAAGATGCCCTTCTATGAGGGGCATGATATTTGTTTCGAAAAGCAATCTGTTTGGTTAGTTGTCAACCTTGAGGAGCGAAGGCGTCTCCGGGACAGACGTTCTGTTTTGTGGATTGAAATATTCGTAGTGCGCAGAGGATATCTTTAGCACTAGCTTTGTGAGCTATCGAGTCCTCGTGCATTCACTGCATGGCCCCAGCGGTGAGTACAGAAGGTGATGTGCCCATGGAGGGTCCATCTCAAGAAGAGCACCTGCTTATTAATGGAGTCGTTGATGATGACGAGATTAAAGAGGAGAAGGAGGAGGAGAAGGAGGAGAAGGAGGAGGTCGAAGATGATAGTGGGAGAGCTGCAGTCGATGATGATGATGTGGACATCAGTCGGTTGGAACCAACGGCGAAGCAGATCGCTGATTGGGTGAGTGCTGATCTGTGGTCCTTGTATGGACACATTCCTGTTCAGTCCAAATGCCCGGCTAAAGGGACCGAGAAGTGTTGGAATCCGAGCTGCCCTAGAAGTGCTGTTGTCGATTCGACCTATAAAAGCCGAAAATGCTGTGGTAGTAACCTATAGGCGTACTTGTCCTGATAGTGTCACGGTAGCCTGCTTCACAGTGCTGTTTCTATGGCATATTATAGTAGTATCAGTGTTAGGGTGTGCTTGAAGGAGCACACCCCCTTCGGAAACTCCTGGTAAGTAGTTACTGCGAAATTGCTGGACACGGGCCCAATCCCCTGTAAAGGTTTCGGACACGGGCCCAATTCACTGTAAAGGTGTCGGACACGGGACCAATCCACTGTAAAGGTGTCGGACACGGGCCCAATCCACTGTAAAGGTGTCGGACACGGGAGCGATACACTGTAAAGGTGTCGGACACGGGCCTAATCCACTGTAAAGGTGTCGGACACGGGAGCGATACACTGTAAAGGTGTCGGACACGGGAGCGATACACTGTAAAGGTGTCGGACACGGGAGCGATACACTGTAAAGGTGTCGGACACGGGCCCAATCCACTGTAAAGGTGTCGGACACGGGAGCGATACACTGTAAAGGTGTCGGACACGGGCCTAATCCACTGTAAAGGTGTCGGACACGGGAGCGATACACTGTAAAGGTGTCGGACACGGGAGCGATACACTGTAAAGGTGTCGGACACGGGAGCGATACACTGTAAAGGTGTCGGACACGGGAGCGATACACTGTAAAGGTGTCGGACACGGGAGCGATACACTGTAAAGGTGTCGGACACGGGAGCGATACACTGTAAAGGTGTCGGACACGGGAGCGATACACTGTAAAGGTGTCGGACACGGGAGCAAGGCATTTCAGAGGGTGGGGAGGCCGCTGAGCCACCGGATAGAAGTCTGTCATAATCGATTGTCACTGCACTATTGCATTATTATGCAATCTGCACCAAAGGAGGATGTGTAGCACTGGTCCAGCCAATGTTTGATGCTTCTCACGTTCGTTTCGCGAAGGTTTCGGGTTTTCCATCTGTGAGATATCCACTGGCTTGAGATGACCTGAACTGTTATCTTCTAGAACTTTGCCTCGACGAGTTCTACTCCAGCGTGGCAAGCTTCTGTCCCGGATGCGGATTGGGATATGAGATCGACGAGCCCCCCGCCGACGAGTCCAATCCTTTTCTTGGTACTATCAATAACAGGACGTATCACAGAGAGCGTTCATCATGCTGTGCTGGTTGCGAGAAATGGGTGCACAGGAAATGTGAAGATCCTGAGTTGAGGATCGGCATGTGGGTTATCGTTAATTGTCGCAATCAAGCCTCCACGTCCCCTCAGATACGACGCGGAATTTCTAATGAGCAACTACTATTGCTTTGATTGCCGATCAGCGATGGACTGTGACATTGAGTGGAGATATCCGAGGGACCTGCGTAGGTGATCGTGTCTTGTTCCTGCGTGCAAATCCTGCAGTGCTGGAAAGCCAGAGGGATGGTGAAGAAGGATTGCTGATTCTGACGAGGCCTTTGCTGTGGTGCGGGGTGAGGCAGAAGACCACTTTTCCAATTATGATTGGTAATATGACACTCATGTGCGAGCAAACGATAGTCTATATTACAGTTGGGTTTGACTTCCGAGATGACCGAAAAAACAAAAAAGTGGTGATGGCACTGGGAGCGACGAAAGTGAAGGATGAGGTGAACGACTTTGGCTCACGTAGCCTTCGAATGCTCCTGTAGAAGTTGGACTGGGAGGAGCTCAACTTGGTCGTCAGCTGCACGAAGCGGCTGCCGCCGTGGGAAGATGTCATAACCAACACTAGGAATCGCGTAAGTAGAGATCTGAGATTTTCCTTAGGTTCTGAATACAGTGCTTGGTTTTTCTCGTGTAGTTTTTAAGTTGACTTCCAGATCGGCTCGTGTGATTTCTTGTCCATTTATGATGGTATAACTCACAAAGAACTCCACTTCGGGCAGGATGCCCAACGACATGGAGGAGATTGACTCGTCCTTTCATCAGTTCGCGAAGCCGCGAGGCGTGTGGTCTCTGGCGCATTCCATGTTCGCGGATGATGACAAGTCAGTGCTAGAAGTGTTATCTGACGAGGCTAAGGCTCAGTAACTCGTCGCGCTAGCCACAGTCTTATGCTTGGTAGTGGCAGGTACTTCCGATTTAGAGAGGCTCTTGAAGAGTGTCAACAGGAATACGATGAGCTTGTGGCAGGAGTTTTTTCCACTGTAGGTTTGAATGCTCTCCGTCGCTTGTTACGTTATGGGATTGATCGACTCAATTTGATGAATAGTTGTCTGTGCTTTCCAGATCCTCTGTTGGTTCAGAGATGTTCTTGCTTTCAGAACCTGACCGATCGGAGTAGCAGCGAGGACGAGGCTAAGCATAGGGCGAAGCGAAGGAAGGTAGATTCGTCAAGGGGAAGAGGAAGACCTAGGAAGCTAGAAAAGGTGGGAAACGTCATGTATAGTAGAGATTGCCCACACGCGTACTCAGTCGGCCGATGATGAAGCCCTGCTGAACGATAACGGCTCGTGGCTCCTCTCAATGCGAGGGCGAGCCGGTAACTCTGGTGTCATGCAGCGCTTCTCGGAGATGCTACAGGAGTCTCCCCAACTACATGGCGCCGATGAGGACGATGAAGAGCTTGAGACAGGGCTGCAGGTGGGTCTTATAACTGTGAGAGGTACCGTGGACTGGTACAGTACTCAGGCACCGTCCGTGGTGTGGGCTAAGATACCGGGAAGAGGCCCATCCTGGACACCAGCGGTTCTCACGCATGTTCTCAGAGGGGTGAGTGTGCGCATAGCGTTGTGGTTATTTGGTATGAGCATTGCTTTCAGGCCGCCTCCACTGCGCCGTACATGGTCTACTTCCTCGAGAAGGAGCAGTTGCCAGTGGCTCATTTGCGACAATCACAGTCAGTGTGGGAGGATTCGCACGTGGTCAACAACATGTGTTGCTGACAATATGAAAATTCTGGGGAAATTTTGGGAAATATTCGTTGGTTTCTGAACAACTGTCCTCGAACTCGTTATGTATACTTCTATAATCAGTGAGAAAACTCCTGACCTCAGCTGAGGAAAGAGAATATATATCCCAACACCGAGCACAGTGAGGGGTTTCAACTTCATTATCGTCCACCATCTCCTGTGTAGAAGTGTTGGCTCGGTCCTCGGAGACGCGTCAACAGCCGAATCAGGAGAGGAAGAATCTGTGAAGGAGAGTAGCACAGTGCATACGGAAAGCTCTGAAGAGCAATTGGTCGAAAGTGAGCGAACAGTTTACACTTCGCGGTCATAGCCGGAACATCATCAGACGTAAGCCTTATGAAGGAATGCCCGGCAAGTTGTCAGGAGTTGGTGACTATGGACGAGCACGGGCGACCCATCTCCGATTGGCTTAGGGACTTGATGGCCCGTCGAGTAAGCAACCCTGCAGTCGCGCCTGAGGGCGTGCGTATGTTGACATTCATGGGTTGATCTCAGCTAAATGCGGAAGAGCAAGATAGAGCGCCGAAGTTCAGTTGGCTGGAGCGCAACGCTATACAGCCGTGGAACTGTCCTCGAAAACAGGACTACCACCGAATAGTGAGTTTCCAACAGAAACTCATGGGGTAAGCAGCGGTTGACGGTCAGATACAACGAGCGCCGAGTCATAAGAAACGACATCTTCTAGATGCTGTACTTTTCGGCGATGCATTTTACTCGGGGGAGTGAGTCTTCACTGTGTATGTTGGCTGATCGCCCGGGAATGCTCTCAGGTTTGCTTCCTGTGGAAGGAAAGGACTCCCGACACACATTTTCAAGGAATATCTCCGCTTGCAGTAAGCTCGTGAGTGAACCGTGATGGAGTTACTTGTATTTTGTGAGGAAACACCAATCGCATATAGAAGCCCAGAATAGATCTATGGTTGCGAACGAGCGTCTTTATACTGAGATCTTTACAAAAAAGTACCTCGAGCTGTGCATACTCGGTAAGGGTGTCACTACGGCCGGCTCTGAAGTCTTCTTGATAGAACTACAAGGTCGTTGCCTTGGGCGAGCGAAGCAGTTCGTTGAAGCTGTGAAGGACGAACACTACGGAGGTTGGCATTTGATTGCAGCGCAGGACTGGCCAACTGATGAGCAAGTACGTCAAGGCCTTGAGGAGGATGTGATGTTGGTATATGCTGGTGAGTAGTAGTAGTCGTAGTTGCGATAATTGGTCGAATATGCAGGTTCGGTAT